GGGAATTTACGTGGAAGTCAATGTTTACGCATTAATGTAATACGGAAAATACAAAATTGTGAGTTTATGCAGTATATAATTGTCAGAATTCGCGTTACCTCACAAATGTAAACGCACTCCATTATTTTTAATTGTAATATTTATTCTCGTATAAATCTCGATGTGACACGTGCGTGGCTCTTCTACAGCTGACCATGTTCTAGTACATTAAAAACACTATTAACAATACGTTCTGTAGTAAAAGTTAATAGAGAATAGTATAACATCAAATAGAAGAGTATAAAGAACCATGCTGGTGTATAGAGATAGACATTAAAGTAGGTAATAGGTAAGAGGACGATAGATTACGATATTAATAATCCGTAATAACTTTTTTCACTTATTAAGAGTAATTTTGCATAAACGTTGATGATCATTTAGTAGACTTTTTTTCTCTTTAATACAATATTTTGAGCACATTCCTCAGGTGTATAACCACGCTACACTTTCTTCATCGAGTTGTACCAATATATTCCACAACTTATTAAACTCCACCAGTACTAAATTATTTAACGATTATCAAGAGCTTTGTCAACGTACGAGCCATGGCGTGCACTGAACATTCTGTAGGAAATATTGCGCGAAATTTACTTAAACAAGAGAATAAGTAGTATAATATAGTTACTATATAATAGTAATTATTCAAATAATTAATAAATTATCGATCATAATAAAATTAATTTAACATATCAAAATGTCACTAACAGTTCTGCAACTATATGCTAGAAAATGATGATACGTTCGTAAGTATTCGTTGCCCAGAAAAGATGTCTAACTTTGTTTTTTGTACATATTGCTCGATTATTATGCGCTTTTTCTTCCTTCCAATAGTAATCCTGATTATTTGATGCGTGTGTGAATTTGCAATTTGATTTACAACTGCGAATGCGGGAATCAGTAAACTTTTTAATCATCAATACAATATCAATATAGTATTAGTACAGTAATATAATAAAGAGTAGTCGTCTATAATAAAAACAAGCACGAAATTATTAATCACGATTAATGTCTTTTGTCAGCTTGTTATGAGATTTCGAAAATAAATGTAAATAAATATTTTAATGAAATAAACACGCGATGTCAGCACATATCTAAACGTGATGTGACATCAACTTAAACAGGAATAATATAATAAACAACAGAACGGTAATTTTCGATATGAATAAACTGTTATATAATAAAATGTAAAATATGAAACAACAAAAAACTTGGTTTAATAATTGTCGATGAGTGCAAAATGCTCCATTTGCACAGCCATTAAGTTAAGTGTTAGTTGGTAACTTCAAGTTAATCGTCTAATCACATACACGTACGAGAGCACAAAAACGAAAAATGATATATAGATTTATCGATGATTAGTTCAGATCCATTCACTCGATGTCATCGCTACTCGATTTATGGCAGTACAATATCGGTACAACTCACTAGTTGATGGCACGGGTCCGCCTATGTACAAATATGTAATACCATATACCACATACCATTTAAATACATCACATAGTTATCATTTTGTTATATATATATTCTTCATATAGATATATCATTTTTTTCTGTGACGTGGAGGGACTCGTTTGTACAATTCATGCATATCTTCGTTACTGTTTCATTGCTTCGTTTCATGCCTTTCCCACATTCTGAGTAAGTAGCCTCCAGTACCATACGTATCTTGTATTGCTACTGTTCTAAATCCAGAGTATAATTTCTTTTAATATAAAACCATATCTGTCAAATGTAGAATATTTTTAACTCCAATTTTCATCGTATAAAATTTGTGTGATATATAGATTTAAATTTATCTTAAAATCCTAACAGAACATAAAAAATTATATATTAAGACAGTAGAAAAAAAAATTTATTGTTGCATTTATTACATATCTTCTGGATTTGGTCAGCCAATACATATTCGTTTTATTACTAACCTATGATTTTTCCCTTGAAGTTCTAAATCTGATTAAGAGTTAGATTACGTACAATAATAATTATATTAGTAGAAACTTAGTTTCTGTAACAAGTGTATTGTCTTAAATGATATGTCTGCTAATTTTGTTGTATTCGACCCATGCACCGAGCTTGTGGTCGGAATTCATAACAATTTTATCCCTTAAATAAACTAACTTTAAGATTCGAAATTCTAGAATCTTAGAGTATAGTATATAGTTTTCTAATACTACACTTTACTTTTGTACTGGAAGCTATTACTCAGCCGTTACAGAATCATTTAGTTTGGATTACAAAGGAGTATTTCCATGGGCTTAAAAAATTATCTATGTCTACAAATATAATCTTATGAATCTCTTTTTGATATCAGGAATATAGTGAAAGAATTAAAATACATATATAAAATTTAACAATCACGAAAATATTTAATAGAATTTGTTATCTTATATTGTATGATTATTATAGGCCGGAAAATTTAGCAAAGAGAACAAATGAGTTTTAATTCTCGAATAATATCATATGAGCATTAAATTAGTGCCCTTGGCGATACTCCCTCATATTAATCTCTTGTCTGTAAATAAATAGATAATGCAGATGTGGCCGGAATATTTGATGTTTAGTTTGCATTACATTTTTGTAGATCGGGGAGAAGATTAATAAGACATACATAAAGATAGAATAAGTACTAAAGTACAGACTTGAATATCTAATGTCTTTGAAGAAGGTATTTTTCATTTCCGACAATTAGACCTTCATTTACAATCATAGTTTTCATTTTGAAACAAATGGAAGATTTAGAGCCATTTTGATATACTTATGAAGACTTGGCAGATTTTTTAAGTATCCTCAGTCACTTGCGTTTACTTGAGAAAAGTTTCAAAAGTTAAAGTGTACGTTGTGTGTGTGCGCGATTCATTCAATGGTAAAAGTTAATAAGAAGAAGAATGTTAACAATAACAATGTTCTCGAGATAGAATCAGAGCATCTACGATTGGCAATTCTCTTGAATAACAATTTAGAGTTTCAATATATAAATGAAACTTGATATATAAATAGATTTTAATCTTTATAAACTTTAGTACATTTATTATACTTGTCTTAATAAAATGCACGCTGTTTTTTGTTCTAAATGTACTGAATAATTTGTGAGGGATGTTCCTATATATATATACACACATACATACATATATATATATATAAATACATAAATTCAACTAAAGATAAACTTCGTGGAATTTAAATAGCTAAGCCCGAATATCAAAAAATGCAAATTATGAAATCTTTATACATATATACGTATTACATTGATGTCTTTTATGAAAAAGAAAAAACAAATAATATATGCTTTCGAATATTTAGAGCTATTATTTTTATTTCTTTGTTTTTAGATTTATGAATGTTAGTTTAATCAAGGAAATGCAGTAACATTAATCGGGGGAATTTTAGTTTAGTGCATCATCGAGGTATATCAGCGAAAAGTAAACTTTTTTGATTGCTTAAGGCACCTTACATATAGGAACATCATTATAACAACTTTTGAACGGAAAAGAAAAATAGAGATTGTGGAAACATGTGACCAGTCATTGTTTTTACAAGAGCTTCGCCACGTAGCCTCTAGTAAGGTAGAAAATGAAGCCAAGTATATATATTGTTCTTTATATATATGTATAGATCCCTCCTAAAACAACCTAAAATCTAGCCTATTTACTTTGCGTAGAGTTCATTTTAATTGTACATACAGACACTGACGTTATATATGTACAAACATGTACACATCTTATGTACATATAGCTATTTTAATGATCATTGAAATTGAATATTATTTAATAAATGTACTCTATTCTTTGTATTTGTGTGTTGAGTGTGCGTATGTATAATATGTACGTATGGGCATATGTATAATCATTATTTTACATTCAGTATCGGCGATGCAGAGAAACGCCTCTGAAGTGAAACTTGAACAACGTCCTTCCTAGAGAATCATTTGCCTAAGCTAAAACGAGTTCTTTTCAATTACATCAATTTGTGTTTATACATATTTATATTTATATATATTTATATTCATATATCGTATATATTAAAATTTTTATTCAATTGTGTACTATTAATCTACTAAGTAACAGAGGTAAAGAAATTAAGGAGTTTCAACAAACCTACGTACGCATGATATAAGACTCACTTATTCTCATCGAATTTTAGATATGCTAATAATATTTAAACTAAATGTAACTATATAGAGCGAACGTGCAACAAGTTGTACATTACAAGTCCGGGAACCGTTTACGAACTGCGGCTTATCTCACCATTATATCGGTGTTTATTCAAATTAATATTATTAATGTAATTAATATAATTATAATAACTTTTATCTAAATAAAATATTGATAACATTCTGTAATTCCAAATGATTATAAAATTTGGAAATTAAAGCATATGTCTTCATTATTCGATAAGAAAATCTTGAATAAAGCTTCATTTAAACTGTTCCCGGCTGTAATCGAAAACGAAAACAACCTAAAATATTTAAAAAAAATTGCAAAAGGGTAACAGGTAACAGTAATGTCTTGTGGCACAATCTGGGAACATTTCACGTGCATAATAAATAGGTACACTGAAATCGCGTTTAATTATTAGAGCGCTTATTGTAGGTGCACGTCAATCTCCTTCAGTTTTGTTGATTCAGCACTCATTATGGCGAAAAGTAGATTTTCGCATGTCTACTTATCAAGTTGCATTTGATTTTTCTAGGCCATGTTAAATAATCGCATTTATCTTTTGTCTTCAACAAAACGCAAGATCTGTATGTTCGCTTCATCTTTCAATGACAATGACAGTTTTCTCTTACAATGATGCCGACATCTCGTCTTCCACGTTAAGGAAGATATTTACGATCAGTACCCTGTTTCCTTGTTGAACAGAGCTCGAATTCTGATTGCATAGTTAAATATGCCTTTTATCACTGCGCCATTAAACTCTACGAGTTCTACAACTCTTCGTGCTCTTTATTAACGATAGATGTTGTCTTTTTCTGAACGGCCGACTACGATACATACTCCATATGAGTCTCATAAATTCAATTAGTTTATCTGACTTGATAGACTTACCGGTCTCTCTCTTATACAGTTTCGCGTGGGTAGAGGTATTGGCGTTTTTGAAACTATCTATCTTGGAAGTTCACTTACGCAACCTGCCCCATTGTGAGCAAAGGTCTTGTTTACATAAAAAGATATTTCAATATTATTCGTAACGATTGTGCGACGGTCGCTATTATTTTAAAGCCTGCCTGTACCGCGCGCGACCATATTACTTTCCTACAGTATCATTACAGCCTTCGTTAAGGTAGTTTAAGTTTAATTACTTGGATCTTGTCCTATGGGGGTCTCGTCGGATTGTGACATAAATGTGTTGTATTTTTGGTGTTGCTGTCACTGATACTCGCGGACAACAGTTGTTGTTGATGGTCTTGAGCTTGCGGTGTAGCATTGTCCGTCTGCTGTTGCTGCTGCTGTTGCTGTTGGCTTGGCTGCGACAGCATTGATTGTTGCGTTTTTGATGACTGTTGCATGGATCGCTTAGATTCCTGACCCGTTGAATCGGGCAAGGGTATTGGCCTGTGAGATTTCATGTGGGCACTTCTGCTTTTCACTTTGTTGAAAACTCTGAAAGAAAAATATAATTGGTATCAAGCAAGATATCATTTATTGGAAAATTGGATTAAATAGAACATGGACGAAATTTAGCATTGCGAGATCTGCACGCGTGAACACGCTCCTGATTGTAAAATTGTTATGATATCACACAAATAATTCGTAGGAAGTAATGCAAATACGTAGAAATGATCGAACTTTAAATTTGTATACATTCAAAAATATTTCGTTCCATATAAGCATTGAATTATGTCTTAAATTATTTAGATAGTTATAGTATATAGTTTAGTAAGTTCACATATATTTCACACATAACGTAAGGAGTCGGAAATATCGAGCAACAGCAGTCTAACAAATCATGCTTGCGTTATGCGTTTTAATTTAATTATATATAACATACCACATAGTCATTTATACATATATTTTTATTAGAAACTAAAATATAGAGAGAGATACGATTAGGAGAACATAGGCAGCAAATTAAAATGATAGAATATAAAAAAATATGCCAGGCATATTAAAATAAAAATTAAACAATTAATGAAAATCACCAATGGCAAAAAATAGATTAAAAATATTATATTTTAATTGAATTCAGCAATAAGTAACAAAGAAAATTAATACATCGTAGAGTTGTCATATTTATTCATTGATAATATTAAGTTTATTTTTATAAATCGTGATGTATATCGTGAATGGCGTTTGTGCGGTTTTCCAAAATGTGTTAATATGTATTTCACCATAGACAGAAAAAATTGGTTTTATTATATAAATATTATTTATAGGGTTATTTTATTTTTCAAAGTATTTAAAACTACGATTTCTTTTTCCGTGTACATAATATTTTTTATTTTAAAAATGTATTTTGCTGTTGCATTGATTTGTTTAAAATAAGTTTTGTTTTTATTGTTACGAGTCATTTGACGAAAGTATATACATGTGGCTATATGTATGGAATTCTGAAACTATACAGCTGGCATCATTTCACTATTCGGCTTTTAGATCATATATGCAGAAAGGCACTTTGTCCTTCTACAAGCAAGGATATCTATGTGAGATGCGCCAATACTTGCCGCTTACATTGTCGTTAGAGCACGCGCGTCACACGAGCTCCGCCATCAATTATTGGAAATGGATAATTTAGATTAGAGATTGGAGACTTACTTCCCGCAAATCTTGCAGGGGTAGTGAAGTGGGGTAGGCGCGGGTAGTTGTTGCTCAGAACTAGTGTGAGTTTGTGAGTTGGTGTTGACTGTGGCGTGGCCGGTATTGCCGATTTGGGCGGTTTGGGTGCTCCCGGCCATCGTTACTGTTACACTTCCGCTAAAGCTCTGACAACACAAAGAAAACACAAAGCCAAAATAAACAACACAAACAAACGACACGGCGACGACAGATAAGTAACGCAACGGTCACACAACGCACAACGTCTTCGGTTTTCTTAAAATGAAGCGTGAGAAAACGACGGATCAACAATCAATCTCATGCGACACTTAAATCTTCACACGTATATGCGTGTGTAAGATATTTCAAATACATCGAGTACGAAATTGTTCAATAAAATATATATTAAGCATTTTATAAGGGCAAAAACTGTTCTCTATTATATTAAATTTTAGTATAATCGAGATATAATACATATAAAAGAAGTTTTTTTCGTACTCGGCGTATGTACAGAAATGGGATATGCGGTGTGAGCAGCAGACATAGAAATAACTTATGTAAATGTATTTTTTATTTTCTGAACCAGTTATATATTCATACGTTTCATAATAATATACTATTATAATATATTCGCAATGTATGTTGTTTAAATTGAAAATATTTTAATTTATTTTCAAATTAATTCATGAAGACTTTGAGTAGTTATTATCAGCAGTTAGATATGTAATTTTTGTGTAACTAATTGTAGAAAAACACAATGGTACATTAAATGTTTGTAATAATGAAAAAATATTACTCACATCTGGGCAGTCATATGCGAATAACCTCAGCTCTCCTTCGCTGGTAGTCAGAGTCGCTGAATTTTCTCTTTCGTTTGTTTGTAACTAAATCGAAAAATAAAAAACATTGTCTTTATACTTACACACTTTACATAAGGCATTTACATAATTTAAGAATGAATAAAATGCATGAAACAAAAAGTGATCAAGTATATTCAAACCTACCAGAGTACGATGAAGGATCGATTTGTCTTCACTGAAGTCCATTTCTGTCACGGACGCGATAGCATCGCGTAGTTCTTTGGTATCCTTACTATCTCTAATCTCGCTCTTGATTTTCACTTTTCCATGACAAATACGTAGCCTCTTGTACTCATCAGGACAGAGCCTCTTCCAAAGATAGTAGAACTGCACGCATTGTTTCGCGGACTTGGCACCGACGTCTCGCGAAATCGCAGAAAAGTCCTTGTTGTACTTGAGCAGTCCCTGATAGAACGCGTCCATTTCGTGTGACGTCCATCTGTCGGACTCGTGGCACTCGTAACTGAGCAGTGGATGCTCCATTGGTAGTGTAGGCGTTGGTCGCATCAATTTCACCATCGCTTCCTGGAACATATATTAAATGTGCATGAGTAGTGTTACATCTCATTGGAAAAATAAAACATGAACAAAAAGATTCAGATAAGTTTTTGATATATCGATTCTATTTGCAAAAAGATATCTTACATGGATATTCCCTTTGCACATGTGTAACAGATGAAGCGCATACTCCTTGTTTCTACCACCGCCTGGCACCGCGGCACAACACGCGAACTGCAGGTACATCTCCACTGTAAGCAGTTTAATCGTTATACATTTCGCCATGTGCTTTTTTAAGGCACAAGTGAAAGAGAAACTTACGTTCAGTGTCTGTAAGCACATGGTTTATGCCAGGATCCCACAGAAGATGGTCAGCTTCTGGCCCGTCGTTTCCTCTGTCTCCATCGTGTTCTATTGGAGGTATTGTGGCTTGATATCTTGTACCGATGTTGATTCTCGGCGGTGGACCGTCGTTCCCTTGAGAATCATCGGAACTAAAGTCCGAATCTCTCTCGTGTTGATGCAGTCTCGCGTATAATCCCGGACCGGGACGAGACGGATCTAAGATCGGCGGTGGTGTGTAGCTACTGTCCCAATGGCGGTCGCAAGCTTTTCGCAACCTTGATGGATAAGAATGCGAACTATTGACATATTGGTCACCGTCCATACGTGGCCTCTTCCGACAGTGTCGCACGGGACTGTTGGTGGGTAAACTACCAGGACTGAGAAACACATCCTCGTCTAACATTTCCTGCTTGATCTGATCAATAGGTATTGGTAAATTTCCGGCAGTCGATTTTTGTCTCAAGATATTATTCTTTGCCGCATGATTAGTTTGAACAAAAAACTTGGCCGGGTTGACGATTTGCTGTTGATTGAACTGTTCTGCGTTGCACTGTTGCTGATTTGTCGTTTGAACGTTCTGACCGAGATTTACGGTCACAGGCTCGTTTTTTGGTGTTGCCAGACGGATCTCTTTCTTGAACGTGAGTGCGGGACTGAGAGAGCCTGCCTGTACGAGTACATTTGCCTTCTGCAGACTCGCCGTCTGTATTAGTTTAAACTCGCCGTTGTTGTCGACGACGATGCCGGCGAGACTACCGTTCCCGAGACCAAGATCCATCAGATTCTGACTCGTGATTAGTTTGTACGATTGAAACTCGAATCGCCTGCGACCAGAAACGGCAAAGTCCTTCGAGGTCGAGGAGAGTAGCGGATCCTCCGAGTTCGGCATCATCTGGCTTTGAAGCGCGTGATGCGGTGACACGGGGAAGCTCGTGCCGGTGAAGGTGATTGCTCCCGGCGACGAGACGGAGGACGGCGGCAGTGGCGACGGCGCCGACGTCGCCGACAATGGGCTTGGCAGTGGCGAGTGCGGATTAGGCGAACCGGACCCGTAGAGACCCGCGTCCGCCTCGGATTCACCCGGCAGCACCTCGTTCAGTGCCTCCTCCACGGCCGCGGCGGACGACATCGAAGTGGTATAAAACGCTGCCGAGAGCGGCGACGACATATGCCTCACGCTCTCCGGATCCTCCTGAGGACTCAGCAACGGCAGACTTCCGGTGAGTAGACCCTCCTGACTGGCTGGTGGTGTAGGATACGTGAAACTTGGACTATCGTGTCGCGTTAAAGGCGATGGCAGAGGCGATTGGGTTGGCAATGTATGAGGACTTTCTGTGTATTGCGCGGCATAAGTACTGAATTCGGCCAGAGAATCTGGCAGTGGTGAGTTCACCAATGCTTGAAGATCCGGATTGACCGTGTGCTGCGAGGAATATCGGTCCTCCAGCGTGATATCCTGCAACTGTTCGGTGGATTGTTCTTGCAACAGACTGGCCGTCTGAAACTATGCCACGAATATGCACGTTGAAAATAGAAATGTTTCCTCCTCACTGCGCTCTACTCCACATCACGAATGGCACAAAAAGATTACGAAGTTCCGTAAACGATTCCGAAAGAAAAGAATACGACTTTTCATTCTACTTGTTTACGATACGCTTACTGGATCGGAAGTAATGCGAAGATCCTTTTGCATAAAACTATATTTACATTGGCTTTCGTGATGCAAATCGTAATCGTATTTATGATCGTATTTATGAAACAGCAAACAAGTATCGATTAAAATTGTTTACCTGAATCGAGTCCAGCTGGGACGTGTGCAGGAGCACGCTTTCAGGAACCGTTGTGACCTGCTGAAACACCTCGTCCTGCAGGCTTGGGCTGAAGTAACCGCCATCCTCGGCGTATCCAGTCATTGTGAAATTTTCCGTTACCGCAGGTTGTGCCTGTGGCTGTTGATTATTCGGTTGTTGGTTGGTCGTCGCCGATTGCACGGGCTGCTGGTAAGTCAAGTGTAATCTTTGTCCCGGATCGGACGTTGTTCTCTTTACAGCCACTTTCGCACCCTACGAGTTAGCGTGCGTGTTATGCACATTTTTTCAAAACGGATATCAATTATTAACGATGCTTTAGATTGTTAATCGAAAAACTTTCAAGATATAATTTATAAATTTTAATATCATAAATAACGATAAGTCACCACAGAAAAATTTGTGTTTTTACCTTTAGAATCATATCCGCAAGCGCTTGCGCCTGAGCCTGAGTTTTCGCTTCCTGCAACTGCTTTTGCACAATCGCATGGGCACTCACGGTGACATTGGGATGCCGGAAGTGTTCACCATCGGAAAGCCGACGCACCTTTTCCCCCGCTGCCAAGGGCGGTGGAGCCGGAACCGCGAAGTTCGTCTTGCCAGCAATGGCTTGCGAGACGGCGTCGGCTTGCGTGGTGAAGACGGTGGTATTCGTTCGAAACTGCTGATTGCCATTTGCATCCACTGCTAAAAATGTACATATTTCCTATTGATCAAATTTTGCTGGTAATTTGTTTCTCTTGGAAAACTTGGCAAATAACAGATGACACACATTGAATGCGCTTATGACTGACAGATTATATAATTAAGTACTATTCTATTTATATCCGACAGTGATTACATTTCACGTGAGCAACGAAAAATATTTATTTTATCCTCGTGTTTAACGAAAGGACGTGTGCTTTCATTACGATCACATTTTATCTATTATTACGTTCTTGAAAAGCAGAAGCGGTTTTCTCTATAACGGCTGGCGGTAAACACACGGTGTCTCTATGTAATTTGCTCTCGTATTTCAGGTCGAAAATAAACACCGGGCGTGAGAGGTGCCTCTGAAGACTTCGTGTTTGCGATCGCGGAAGATGGATTGGTTGGTAAGATATTTTTCCCTTTTGCTAAGAGAGCGACGTGATGCGTGCGCGACGCCTCGCGTTTCCGAACGGAATAAACAGAAAGACGGCGCAGAAGACCATGAAACGGAAAGTGGAAAAAGCGGAAGAGAGCTTTCCTGTATGCGTAAATGGGAGTTGTATAGCGCTCGAAATAAAAGAAACTTTTGTCGCTCTTTTTTCCTCGATTCACCCTTCGCTCGACAATGGCGGTCGCGAATTGGTGCTCTCTTTCAGCCGCGATATGTTCCCGCTACACACGTCGACGGTTTTTGTTTTCCCTTTGGCTTTTCGTATATATAATTGAAGAGAGGAAAAAGGAATAAAGCGAATAAAGAGAGGATTGGCTGAAGCAACAACATACGTCGTATGGTGCTCCCTCCGTCCGCGCAATAAAAATTTTTCGGTACGTTGTATCTCTAAAAATAACAATATTTAAATTTCAAAAAAGCGTGCGTGCTGGTACGTCACGGCATATTCTGAGAACGGTGGGTTTGCTGGAATAACTACATTTAAATTTCAAAAAGCGCTCATGCCGTTCTGGTTATAATGTATTCCGTAGTCCGACGGACTGACTCAATTTTTACGAAAGCGCGCGGATGACAGAGTATTATAACCGAGCAGACATGAAATACATTCAGCCGACACGCCGCACCAGATAAAAAAAATATTAGTGAGCTTTTCGATAATAATCACTGATCAGGAATACCCGGCGAAATGTAAAGGCCCATGTTCTTTTTCGTCGCGCAAATGTGAAAAAAATGAATAAGACATATATATATATA